GTTGTTCTCTTGTAATTTAGTGGAACCTGTATTGAGTAACTGAGTTTTATGTTTCGTTACATTTTCGTCAGATCTCCTGTGTACCGGTTTTGTGGCACAACGATTATAGCCATTATATTTGGTCGTCTCCATTCTTGTGCAATCATGCATTATGTAGGTTGGTTCTCTTCATGTTATTGTGACCAATTTCATAGATGTTGGTTGCCTTGTTGCTTTCTCTCCCCTCTCCTCTCACCCAAGCCATTCTGCATAAGCGAAGCTGTGGACGCATACTGCTGCTACACTTCAACGCGGGAATGCGTATAATAATAATAATAATAAGCAGGTCGGGAGGAGACGTCACGAATGCTAGCAGGGAGGGCATTGTAGTATTCTAGGGACTTGTACAGTGGGGAGTCTTTACAGCGATCGGTTCTGGAGGGTGGGAGGTGCCAAGTAGGTTGGTTGGTTGGTTGGATTTATTTAAAGTCGTACAACAAACAGGCATATCTGCCTCCTTATATGAAGACGACTTCTGGCAGTAAAACATTTAAAAAAAGATCAGATAAGATTAGATCAAAAATGTATACTGTAACTATACAAATTTTCGGCAGCTATTTAATTTCGGCGATATTCGGCACCGACTCAAAACGCCTAAATTAAAACGCCGATGAAATTTTTCACAGCATCTGTCGCACTATACCATGCCCTCTACCCCACGCCGAAAATAAAACGCCGCCGAAATGTCAAAAATCGTGAAGTGCCGACATTTTGCAGCGCCGACATTTTGTATATTTACAGTAGACTAAGCATACAGCTAACCAGAGACTGAGCAGAGACTGAGCAGAGACTGAGCATACAGCTAGCCAGAGACTGAGCATACAGCTAACCAGAGACTGAGCATACAGCTAACCAGAGACTGAGCATACAGCTAGCCAGAGACTGAGCATACAGCTAACCAGAGACTGAGCATACAGCTAGCCAGAGACTGAGCATACAGCTAGCCAGAGACTGAGCATACAGCTAGCCAGAGACTGAGCATACAGCTAACCAGAGACTGAGCATACAGCTAACCAGAGACTGAGCATACAGCTAGCCAGAGACTGAGCATACAGCTAGCCAGAGACTGAGCATACAGCTAACCAGAGACTGAGCATACAGATAACCAGAGACTGAGCATACAGCTAACCAGAGACTGAGCATACAGCTAGCCAGAGACTGAGCATACAGCTAGCCAGAGACTGAGCATACAGCTAACCAGAGACTGAGCATACAGCTAGCCAGAGACTGAGCATACAGCTAGCCAGAGACTGAGCATACAGCTAACCAGAGACTGAGCATACAGCTAGCCAGAGACTGAGCATACAGCTAACCAGAGACTGAGCATACAGCTAGCCAGAGACTGAGCATACAGCTAACCAGAGACTGAGCATACAGCTAGCCAGAGACTGAGCATACAGCTAGCCAGAGACTGAGCATACAGCTAGCCAGAGACTGAGCATACAGCTAGCCAGAGACTGAGCATACAGCTAACCAGAGACTGAGCATACAGCTAGCCAGAGACTGAGCATACAGCTAACCAGAGACTGAGCATACAGCTAACCAGAGACTGAGCATACAGCTAGCCAGAGACTGAGCATACAGCTAACCAGAGACTGAGCATACAGCTAGCCAGAGACTGAGCATACAGCTAGCCAGAGACTGAGCATACAGCTAGCCAGAGACTGAGCATACAGCTAACCAGAGACTGAGCATACAGCTAGCCAGAGACTGAGCATACAGCTAGCCAGAGACTGAGCATACAGCTAGCCAGAGACTGAGCATACAGCTAACCAGAGACTGAGCATACAGCTAGCCAGAGACTGAGCATACAGCTAGCCAGAGACTGAGCATACAGCTAACCAGAGACTGAGCATACAGCTAGCCAGAGACTGAGCATACAGCTAACCAGAGACTGAGCATACAGCTAGCCAGAGACTGAGCATACAGCTAACCAGAGACTGAGCATACAGCTAGCCAGAGACTGAGCATACAGCTAGCCAGAGACTGAGCATACAGCTAGCCAGAGACTGAGCATACAGCTAGCCAGAGACTGAGCATACAGCTAACCAGAGACTGAGCATACAGCTAGCCAGAGACTGAGCATACAGCTAACCAGAGACTGAGCATACAGCTAACCAGAGACTGAGCATACAGCTAGCCAGAGACTGAGCATACAGCTAACCAGAGACTGAGCATACAGCTAGCCAGAGACTGAGCATACAGCTAGCCAGAGACTGAGCATACAGCTAGCCAGAGACTGAGCATACAGCTAACCAGAGACTGAGCATACAGCTAGCCAGAGACTGAGCATACAGCTAGCCAGAGACTGAGCATACAGCTAGCCAGAGACTGAGCATACAGCTAACCAGAGACTGAGCATACAGCTAACCAGAGACTGAGCATACAGCTAGCCAGAGACTGAGCATACAGCTAACCAGAGACTGAGCATACAGCTAACCAGAGACTGAGCATACAGCTAACCAGAGACTGAGCATACAGCTAGCCAGAGACTGAGCATACAGCTAACCAGAGACTGAGCATACAGCTAGCCAGAGACTGAGCATACAGCTAGCCAGAGACTGAGCATACAGCTAGCCAGAGACTGAGCATACAGCTAGCCAGAGACTGAGCATACAGCTAACCAGAGACTGAGCATACAGCTAACCAGAGACTGAGCATACAGCTAACCAGATACTGAGCATACAGCTAGCCAGAGACTGAGCATACAGCTAGCCAGAGACTGAGCATACAGCTAGCCAGAGACTGAGCATACAGCTAGCCAGAGACTGAGCATACAGCTAGCCAGAGACTGAGCATACAGCTAGCCAGAGACTGAGCATACAGCTAACCAGAGACTGAGCATACAGCTAGCCAGAGACCATGGCCAGCAATCAAGGACATCTGAGAGTTGTAATTTTTGTACTCCTCCGAGGTGTGATTTTTGGCGTGCTGGGCCAAGCACAAGGAAGCCATCTGCAAAAAAACTGCAGAAAATGGTTGTTGTTTGATCCTTTGGTGTAATCTTTGTTTCTAGTCGAAGCTAGTTGCTGTTTGGAGCAGAAACGCTGAAATTGACTATTTTCTGCATGTACTCATTCATGTACTCATGTACTCAGTCATGCAGTCTCACTCGTATTTTAGTTCTTTTTCTGGAATGGATGCTGCTCTGCGCCCCTTGGTGAACATTTCCTGCGCTCGTGGAGCAGCTGAAAAGGACCACTGGTATGTCTGGTTCCTGGTTTGAAAGTGGAGAGTCGACTTTTGTGCCTTGAAAAAGGAGTAGAGAGCGATAAAGGTACGTCTGTGGCTTATTTTTGAGTGCTCCTCGTACATTTTTGATCGTGATAGAAATTCTCAGACCAAAGTCAGACCAAAGTCAGCGCGATGATAGCCGTACAGTTTTCTTGTGGATTTTTTAGTTGTTTCATCTCGTATCTATGTCAGTATCGTGATGGTGAAGTGGAGAGGGTGATTTTCTTCCTCTAGGCTTCGTTCGGCCGACTTTGCTTCGTCCTCGTTGAAAAGTGATCCTGAAAAAAAGGTCGATTCGCAAAATTATGTTGATTGTCAATGTACGTGATGACATGCGATTGCTGGCTATGTGAGCATACAGCTAGCCAGAGACTGAGCATACAGCTAGCCAGAGACTGAGCATACAGCTAGCCAGAGACTGAGCATACAGCTAGCCAGAGACTGAGCATACAGCTAACCAGAGACTGAGCATACAGCTAGCCAGAGACTGAGCATACAGCTAGCCAGAGACTGAGCATACAGCTAACCAGAGACTGAGCATACAGCTAACCAGAGACTGAGCATACAGCTAGCCAGAGACTGAGCATACAGCTAGCCAGAGACTGAGCATACAGCTAACCAGAGACTGAGCATACAGCTAACCAGAGACTGAGCATACAGCTAGCCAGAGACTGAGCATACAGCTAGCCAGAGACTGAGTATACAGCTAGCCAGAGACTGAGCATACAGCTAACCAGAGACTGAGCATACAGCTAGCCAGAGACTGAGCATACAGCTAACCAGAGACTGAGCATACAGCTAGCCAGAGACTGAGCATACAGCTAGCCAGAGACTGAGCATACAGCTAGCCAGAGACTGAGCATACAGCTAGCCAGAGACTGAGCATACAGCTAACCAGAGACTGAGCATACAGCTAGCCAGAGACTGAGCATACAGCTAACCAGAGACTGAGCATACAGCTAACCAGAGACTGAGCATACAGCTAACCAGAGACTGAGCATACAGCTAGCCAGAGACTGAGCATACAGCTAGCCAGAGACTGAGCATACAGCTAACCAGAGACTGAGCATACAGCTAGCCAGAGACTGAGCATACAGCTAGCCAGAGACTGAGCATACAGCTAACCAGAGACTGAGCATACAGCTAACCAGAGACTGAGCATACAGCTAACCAGAGGCTGAGCATACAGCTAACCAGAGACTGAGCATACAGCTAACCAGAGACTGAGCATACAGCTAACCAGAGACTGAGCATACAGCTAGCCAGAGACTGAGCATACAGCTAGCCAGAGACTGAGCATACAGCTAGCCAGAGACTGAGCATACAGCTAACCAGAGACTGAGCATACAGCTAACCAGAGACTGAGCATACAGCTAGCCAGAGACTGAGCATACAGCTAGCCAGAGACTGAGCATACAGCTAGCCAGAGACTGAGCATACAGCTAGCCAGAGACTGAGTATACAGCTAGCCTCGGCATGTATCAGAGCATAAGAATTACTAGTACTCAAGACAGGGGAGGGGGTGAACTCAACTCAACTAAGACTCAAGTGATGTTTATTCGTCCCAGAGTTGTGTTTGACGCTGCTCCGTCATTCGGCAGTGCTCCAAAAGTTGGCCCATAGATCACTCATTTAGTGGACAGTTCAAAGCCATCAAAAACTCATTTTCGCCAAATATCTCCTTCACCGCTACAAAAAGCAATAGTATAGTCATGTTGGACACTTACCGCTGGAAGATTGAGCATTGTCTGTAGAAAGCACCAGCAGAGTCAGGAGTGCCACAGCAGAGTGGTGCCAGCGTGCCACCCACTGTACACGAAAACGAGAAATTGAAGGCAAACGTCGATCATTGACGATATGACCGTTTGTCCTGCACCCAGACTGAACCCGGCATTCTTGAAGCTCGGCACTTGAATCCTTGCCCAGAATCTTGTGTTAGTGATCGATATTGGTGTTTTGTACTTGCATTTGTGGATTCTCCACAGGTTTCAGCCTAAACTGAGTGAGTCTCCATCAACAGCAGGGCATGTGTTTTATGGGTGACAACGGGCGAACTTGTTGTTTAACCCTTTACCGGTCGCCCCATACTTGAATGTGTCGTATAGGATGCATTTGACATGTATACAAAAACCATGCCTGACATGACAGTGTAGTATCCCTGCCTTGCTTTTACTGAATTGTAGCTGACTACTACTATACCGCATATTTAGCGTATCCCCGTACGTTAGCGTATGGAGTCTGCCGCCCTATAAAATCTGCTGCGCTTTACTGATTTCACAACAACAAAGCCGAGCAGAAGAGCTGTTCAACCTCCAGGTGTGTACCGGAGAAAGTTCTCTTTTTTAGCCGCTTCTCTTTCTTACACATAATCCAGGTGTGTACCTGAGAAAGTTCAATTAAAAGTTTATGTTCGTGTTGATTGTCGTGCCTCCACCCGGCTACCCACTACAATGGTGGCAGCGGTGGTTCAATTAATTATTAGATTTGAACCCACTACATTGGTGGCAACGCTGAGTGAATTAAATTCGTTATATTCGAACCCACTACATTGGTGGCAACGCTGCGTGAATTCGTCCCTGCACTGTTTACGACCCGTCAGTATCGTTGTTAGTACCCACTACATTGGTGGCAGGGCTGCGTGAATTCGTCCCTGTACTGTTTGCGACACGTCCGTCTTGTTGTTCGTAGCGTCTACCTAGTGAGTCATCAAGTTATGGCTCAACCTGCTGCTGCTCCCACAGCTGCTGCACCTGCCGTCGCTACTCCTGCGCCCGAGAAGTGTCCGTGCAAGGCCAACTAGCCCGACATGATGCAAGCCATCGTCTTTGGTGCCAAGCGTGCTGCGACGTCCATATGCACGCCGACGGACAACTCGCCCCACATGATGCAAGCCATCGTCTTTGGTGCCAAGCTTGCTGCAACGTGCAGGTAGACTAATTCCGGTATGGCATTTTCTTTCCTGTCTTCCTTCAGTCTTCCTTTTCGCGAGTGTGTGAATCCAGTTTAGTTGGGTAGACGTCTGATCATGGTGAGCCACGGTCTACCTAACTAACCTGGAACAATGTGTGTGAGAATCGAGTTTTGGGTTGAGAACAGTCTTCGAGGGCAGTTAGCTTTTTCGAGCTCCGTAGTTTTCACAGGTTTTGTAGTAGCCAGCCGGCAGCAGTCCGGTCTGGAGAAGGGTAGGTACTAGGTAGTTAAATACATGTAGGTAGTAGTTAGTTAGAGAAGTGTATACGTATGTAGTCTGTCTGTAAATATGTCTGAAAAAGGTAGTTCTAACCTACAGTCCATTTCAAAAATATAGACGCGTGAACTCCTACGTAGCAAATCCGTTTGAGTCGCACCGTCACGTAGCGCACTACAGCTGCGAGTTTTGCATGTGTTTTTCAGGTTTTTCTAAATTTTCTTTGCCGCGGTGGAATATATAAAAAGATGCAAAAGATGCAAAGTCGCAAATGAAAAGATGTAGCTCGTTTCAGGTAATGTCGATGTCTTCTAGATGTGGTGGGCGCTTGGAGAGATTGGCTGTGGCGATGTCGGCACGGAATGCGACTCGAAATTGCAAATTTGTATCGCTGATCCCATCGCAGTATTTCGCTCTCGAGACAGGAGCGAGAGGGAGGGCAGCGATGGCCTAAAATCGTCACGGCAGGCGTAATTCACCAGCCAGCGACTGCTTCTTGTCTTCTCTTTCACTTACCTTACGCTGGATGTGAGTAGATGGAGAAAAATATTGATATCGAATCGGACACAGTAATTCGAAATAATAATGGGACACATAAAGCAGTACAGTCAGACCTCGCATAACCGCACACATCCGTTATCCAGAAAAATATCCGGATAGGCGAGGGAACCGGATAATCGGACACGCATACTGTATGTGTACATGGCATATGCTGTGAATCGGTAACCAACGATTTTCTTCCGGATGGCGAGGGATCCGGATAAACGAGGACCGGATAGGCGAGGTCTGACTGTACTACTTGCACGCCATACATGCATGTATTCTGACTCTGTGCACGCGTGATCGCAAAGAGGGCAAGTCGCGGTATTCTGTGACTGGTTTGTGGGCACCGCAACTGGTTTCTCAAAAGACGCAAACTGTGACTGGTGTGTGAGTGATTTTGACTGCATGACTGACTTTGGGGACCGTGACTGCTATGTGGGACGTGACTGCTATCTGAGTCCGACATATATAAAATATTTAAGTTCTTTTTTTACCATTATTGTAAAAGGCGAGACCAAAATAAAATCGAGATTCCCGGGCAGGACCCATCTGAAATTGGTGCGGGCGGGCGAATTTTTTTTTAAATATTTTTTCCTATGTGTGTATGCATGGCATGCTGAACTCTTTTTACAGTATTTTCCGGCATTTATTTATTATTTTTTACAGACGACAGGTATATGGTACGTGGTTTACCGGTACTCGTACAATTTCTTTTGTATTTCGGCCAACGACAGCCCTGAGTCGTACACCAGGGAGTCGTACAAGCCCAGGTTTGTGTGACACCATGTCACAGATCTACTCGCACGATCAGTACTGTACAGAATACGACTGTTCAAAAAAAATTGCCTTCGGCTCGATTTTGGTGCGGGAGGGCCCGGGAATCTCTATGTTTTTTGGTCTCGCCTAAGTACAAATTTTCGTTCAAGAAATCTTTCGGTAGATCAAACTTATGGCCTCCGACCTCTATTAAATAAAAAAGAAGAAAAAACAGTATTTGCGTCTTGCCCTCAAACCAGTGAAAACAGTAGCGTATTTTCTTTCATAAAAGCCCAGATCTCCAATAAAAACCCAGGGGGTTGTTTGAAATAATAAAAGCACAGTCTCTAATTGTAGCGGAGGTCACAATTGGAGTATGCAACAAGTATATTGACGGCATATAAAACAACAGTACATCATGCCAAGCACCTATCTGTAAGGAGGTTTTCGGTCTACTTGTACTTCTTCCTTCCTGGCGCCCATGTTATTGTGAAACATCAGGTTTGACAATATTCCTCAATTTAGTTAGGGTTGAGCAAATCAGTCTTGATATGGTTAGTTTATGGCTTATTTCATGCCTATATAGACTGGAGTTGGCTTGATAGTGGAGCATTGAAAAAATAAAAAGCACCGTCTCGAATAATAGCACAGTCTCTAATAGGAGCGCAGGTAGACCTGTCAGTAAAATAATAAGAACCCCGGGCTCTTATTAGAGAAAATACGTAGCGTGCAGCAGTGGCACGATGTGCCTGTGAGCATGCACTTGTGTGTCCACATACTATGTCTTACACACCACGTAGTGCACAGGACTAGAAGAACTTGCATCCTCGGCTCTAAGAGCTTTTCCCTGGATGTGTGTGTGTGTATATGAGGGGGGGGGGGACTTCTACGGCATTGAGCAGTGAGCAAGGAAATACAAACTTATTTCCCCAAATGCAAGTCGCACCTTTTTACACCTCAGGCTTTGACACTAATCTTCCAGAGCAAAGAGGGGCTGTGGCTTGACCTGTATAGAAGCAAGACTCGAATAGGAGCCGATTTTTTCGAAGCGCGGCATGACACAGAAGCATGATTTGAATAGAAGCCGCTCCCTGCAAAGAACTTGTACATGTTCATGTACCTGTGCAAGCACATGCGTGGCAGAATGTACGGCACAATGTTTACTGATGATGTTGACGGAGAAGCATGTTTTGAATATAGGCATGTAACTTGAATAGAAGTATGGTTTGACCATCCATAGATAAGTACTTCCTCCGCGTCATCGAAATTGTCGCAGTTTGACAAGTGACTTGTCACTTGTTACTGACAACTCCATAAACTAAGCCATTCAAAATTTATTACACAGTATGCTAGCCTGAAGACTAGAGTAACGTTCCAGGGCAATTGGACTGAGAGTTTTCATGCAGAGATGAAGTCCTCGTCGTCGCTGATGTCAATGGACGCAAAAATATCGTTCCGAAATATTTCAAGGAAGGTTGAAAGTTGGTCGCGCCTCATCTCAAACGCTTTGACTTTCTCCACAGGACGAGAGCTGCTATGCTTGTCGTCTGTTAGCTCTGGATGATTTCTACTTCACCACCAACGAAGCCTAGTAAGAATACACGATCGTTGCGAGGTCGGTTGATTACCTCGGAATCACCTCGATCTTGAAATGAACTTCTTTTAGCCGTGGCATGCCCACAGCTCATGCAGGTAAGTGTAGTATCACGTCCAGCGTGCCTTCTTTTTCAGCATCACTGGTATACCATGGTACGGCACCTGCGCGTGCATCACTAGCACTACGTGTAGAGTCTACACGCAGGTACAATCATGTACTAGTACTGAGTGTCTCAGCCAGAGCGACAAATTTTATCGCTGTTGCAGGCATTTAGTTTGCTGACCCCTCGATGTTTCTCCAAGCGCTTCCACTTGTTCCACGAAGTCATTCTCACCCCAGCTAAGGTAAAACAGTGATGGGGCTTGAGTGAATGGCCATAAGCACGAGAAATGTGCAGGCTGCAACGTTTGACTGATCTCAGCGAGTCGAAATTACCAGCGCAGCGACATCAGCGAAGAAATTGCGTCTAGTTCAAAAATTCCAGCTTCCAATAACAGAAAACAGAACTTTGCCGTCACCCTATACTGATGACTACCGCCTATGTCCGATTCCTTGCCTCTGGTACGAGTGCTCGTGAGTAAATACCGCGTTTTACACCAAAAGTCAAACTGCGACAATTTCGATGACGCGGAGGAAGTATTTATATAGAATAAATAGTCGTTTAGTGGAGAGGCGGTTGAGCGCCTGTTCGTTTCTCGAGAAATATCGATGCACTCTTTGTATGTGTGGGCATGTCCAGAAAAAAAAGAAGAAAAGATCGATATTGATATACCGTTTGTATTGTGTTCGTTTCTCAGGGAGGTTGAGGGGGTTGAAGAGAGATGAGTAGTTTTCATTTCTAAATAAATTATTCAGATGGAGAGCCAAGGTTTAATTTATACAAAAGAGAAAGATCAAGGAACTACAAGTTACGCTATACTGTCCACTAACACCACCAGTTACTAAACAATCAGCTCATGCGATTACATTGCACGACACTGACCGTCGGTACTGACGTTCTACAACTACCGTATTTTCCGGGGTATAAGCCGCACTTTTTTTCGCTAAAAATCGGACCAAAATCGCCCCTGCGGCTTATACACCGAATGTGCTTGCGCGAATGAATGCTAAGCTTACATCAGTATGCATGCTGACGTCATGTGACATGTCATTCAACTCAGCTTCGCGCCTGTGTTGCTGATCAACATCAGTGGCAGCGAGACTGAATATAGTGCAGATGACATGGAGTGATCTGTAGTCAATACTGCAATACACCAACATCTCTGCAGCAACCTGTGGTGCACTAACACTTCATAATCTGATCTAACATGGTATTTAGCTCCATGACCATAATAAATTTGTAGAAAGGCCATTTTGTCAATGAGTGTGAAAAATCTTGGTTTGTGGGTGCGGCTTATACTCCGAATACCAACTTTTAGTCAATATTTTGCCTCAAAAAGGGGGGTGCGGCTTATACCCCGGCAAATACGGTAACTGACTAACAGCTCTAGCACATCTTGGATGCGCACTCCAACAGCCTTCCAACTTGGAAGGTTCTAAGTTATAGAAATACCATAAGAAGGGGAATGTGAGCACAACCAAGACAAGCACGAGCTGAAAGTCTCAGCTGTGAAGGATGTTGGACGTTAACTTAGAACCTGGACAGTATAGAGTAACTTGTAGAATACGCTTCCACAGATTTAGATAAGAGCGTTTACTAGTACACGACAACGCTGAAAAACGTTTCAAAAACGTTTCAAACGAAAAACGGCCTTCAGTGTGTTTTTCAATCGTTTTCGTTCCGTTTCGGTCTCGTGTAAACGGCAAAGACGTTTTACTACAGTAAAATCATGTACGAGCCTTGTACTCAAAACAAGCCGCCGCCAGCTGTGCCAGGCCAACTTATTGCACGTGACCATTGCGCGGCGAAAAAAGCGTTGCAGAGTACACGCTTATCGTTTTCGTGTAAACAGCAAAAGCGCTTCGAAAACGATTGAAAAACGTTTTTCAATCGTTGTCGTGTAAATGAGGCCTGAGTAATACATTGACAAACATTATGTTTCCGAAGCGCATCGTTCTGAATTTTCTATCTGAAATGAGGTATATATCCGCTTAACGTAAACAGATAATCTGCATGCAGAGAGCAATCTGAACAAGGCTATGAACATTAGAGAGGTTTTGCATTCCGAATTTCGGAATTATTTTCGGAATGCGGCGGCAGCAGTCGAAAAAGTAGTCGAACTTTCGGAAGTGTGGTGGCGAAAGTGCATGGTTTTCCGAAAATGTATTTTCGGCTCTTTCATGTTTGGGAGTGCATATTTGAATACAAAAAAGTGTATTTTTCATGTTTGTATTTTTGCTTTCTGCTGCTCTCGATTATTTGAAAAATTTTCCACGTATGTAGTTTTGATTTTTGCTGGTTCTGCTGCTCTCGCTGATCTCGCCATGTTGACTAATCTTCTCACACTCCATCACACTCTATCTTCCTTTGCCATGAAGCCTACTGACAGTACAAGACAGTAGTTCGCCAACCTCGTCTTCAGCTGTTGGATCACTTGGTCCACCATCAGTCCGTCCTCGTCTTCGAACCGCACCCAAATAATTCAGTTTGACCTGCGCACATGGATTTGATCCTGCTCAACCCCTTCGACGCTCTCCATTTTGCTTTGCATGGCAACCCTTGGAAACGAAGTCGCATCAGATTTTCGGAATGCAAAACACTGAAAATACCGTTTTTCGGAACGCGCTTTTTTCGGAAAAGCACAGTCGAAAATCATTCCGAAATTCGGAATGCAAAACCTCTCTATTATCAACTGCGCACCCATTACTACACTGTAACATATTTATATGCCAAAGGATCAATTTCTAGGGTCCGGGCGATTTTGGTCCGATTTTTAGCGAAAAAAAGTGCGGCCTTTACCCCGCAAAATACGGTATGTACATACATGTCAGCGATGTCGGTTTAGTATTTCCAAAAACGTTTTCTTGTGATTGTCATGAGTGCGTAATTGATTCTGTTCATAGGTTTATTGAGATTGTTGTCTCCAGCCGATTATTAAATTAAAGAAATAATATTTGAAAGAAGACTAACCTCCGCCATCCTCGGAGGTCAGGAACGAGAGCCGCCAGACCGGGCACGGAACGATTCCTCCTGACGTGGAAAGCAACACTACTAGGCCCTCGGCCTGCCACCCAAATCAACAAATATTGTGAATGTTCCAACAATTTTGTCTCTCTCTCGTAGGCCGATCTACA